GATCGGAACAACCTAAACAGTTATGAAAGAAAAGGATCTTTGTGTTTTGGTTGATCAGTCTCTTAAGCCAAACAAACAGTGTGCTGTTTCTAGAGGTAGGACAAATAGGATTTTCAGTTTTATTTACAAAAATATTGAACATAAGTCTAAAGAGGTTATAGTTTCATTGTTGAGTTCACTGGTTAGGTCTCATTTGGAGCATTGTATTCAGTCTTGTGTTCTTACTTTAAGAAGGGCATTAAACTGTTGGAAATGGTTCAAGGAGAACTAGTAGGATGATGCTTCAGATAGATAGATGTCATATTAGGATCTCCAAAATTGTTTTTTCTTGATAACATGACATAATGTCTTGGGACAACATGGGACCTATTGGTCTCTCTCGACTGTTCCATCCTCTAAACCAAATTAAAATAATTTTAAAAAACCTTAAAGCCAGTCCTTATCATTCATATACTTATCATGCCTTTTCTTGAACTCACTTAAATGTACTGCCTCTACAATAAAAGAAGAGTTAGGTGGGATCTGATTGAGGTGTTTAAGATTGTAAACAGAACTAATAATGACAGGACAAGATGGCACAAAATTTTGTCAGCGTAGATGTCATCTTCATGTGAGACAGTTTTAATTTTCCAATAGGGGATTAAGCTGTGGAATGGACTGGTGTTGTGGCTGTAGTTTAATGTAAGGGAGTTTAAGGAAAGGTTTAAATGACAAGGACTGGGTTATTTTTTTAAAGACCCAATACGGTGAAGCTCGCATCTCATTCATAAATTCTGTTCTCAAAATCTCATTTCATAAAATTAAGAGCATAATTATAAAAAATGACATTTAAAATTAATAACATCCAATATACTAAACAGTCTAACCACTACAGTTACTTAAGGCAACAATCAAGAGATAATATATCCTACTTAGGGAAACACAAACACTAGCCGTTGGCTTGAACTACTGTCTTAAGATTAATTTTCTTTGAAAATGTAAAATCAGAATAACATGCCTGGTTTTACTTCAGAACCTTTGTGAATCAATTTCAAACACTGTGCACCTGTATCATAATTACTTTATATAACCATAGGCTATGTTAATATCAATACTACAAATTAAAAGAGAGAACAATGATAAAATTTTAGTGTGGGTGACAAACAATATGATGCTTGAAATGGTATCCAACAATATGGTGAGGTATAATTGATCAGACTCAACACTGTACGATTCTGACAATCACACTTCTGTTAGATTTGGGTTGCACCACTGTTTAGGTAAGCATGAATTTATAAAATGTTCTAATTAAACTGTTTCAGTTGTAAGTTTTATATGTCATTACATGAATAAAAACCAGTTGAATTTATAATTCTCTTTTGTAGATATATTACTGACTATTATTGAGTAGATGAAAAACACGATTATAGTTTATTGTGCAAGTAATTCCGAAACTTTCACTGCACACACGTACTACTTTTGGTTGCTGCTCATTTCCTGTCAGTACCCAGTTTGGATACTTGATTTTAAGAGTCAAATCTGAACTGTGATTCTGATTTTGTTCAGATTTACTGAACTATTTAACTTGTGTGTTTTCATTTGTCCCTGAAACTGTCTGTTAATGTTACATATCTGAGTACGGAATCTTCTTAAAACTTTTAATACAGTTATAATACATAACTACTATCTCAATGTTTATAACACAGAAGATAAAGTAAACTTGTTGTCTGTGCTTGTGTTTAGTCAAACTATTTTATACATTTGTAATAGTATAGTTGTGATTACCAGATATTTGCCCATATATAATGCACACTTTTTTTTCCTCCAAATACCTCTCGAAAAATTGACTGCACATTATATTTGCACATGTTTAATTTTGTTACGTATTTTACTAGAAGCTACCACAGAAAATTATTAAAGCATCATTAAAGGTTTTAAGAAATGTTGCATATACAATGCAATGTATGGGATGGATGATGACATTGTGGGAATCAGAAGAAGATGAAGCAAATGCAATGAATCTAATGGAAGCGACAATTCTAGTGATGATGAAGATTTGTGTGAAGATGAATGATTGACATAGTGTATTACCACAAGTAAACTTTTCAATGAAAGATTTACAAAAGTGTTTAATACATCAATAGTTGTTTACTGTATTTAGAAACTATTCAATACATTTTGTACAACTGATGTATAAAAAAATCAAATTTTGTTCAATTTAATCTTTCAACATTGGGTGCGCATTATAATCGGGCAAATACGGTAGTTTTGTTTTCTCGTATGTATAGAGTATGGATAATACACAATCTGAGTAATTAATGATACTCATAGGTAGAAACTTAAAACTGTGTTCCAATGATACTTAAAGCTGTTTGAAGTTGGGTCAGAATCCACAAATGTTTCTACATTTCAAGATAATGATGAGCACTGACGTTAAAATGAAATAATTTCATATATCGAGATTCTTCACTGATTCGGATCTTTCATTTCACAGATAAAGCTAGAGATGTACCCTACACTATGCCTTATCCTTCTCAACCAATTGAGGTCCTTCCTCAGGTAGGACATTTTAAAATCTATGTACAAAATGAAGTTTTAAAGATCATGTTAAAAAAAATGTGTTGCTTTGTTAGGATTAAAATACAGCCCCTCAAAACAAAAAAAAAAGGATTCTGTGTTTTTTGAATATTTTGCTTTTATTCGCATCTAAATGTAAATTAATTTTTTGTCAATGCATAAATAATATAGTATATACATATATATATATATTCATTTTGGTTGTTGTGTTCAGAGCATAACTGATGACAATTACATCATTAAACATGTTTCTCAGCACAGAGTCAGGTGAAGCTCCATATTTCAATATGCAGCTTTCTCAAAGTCTTTGCATTTATTTATCAAATTTTACACAATTATACATTTAAAACTTGTGGTTATAAATTTATATATGCTTTTTTTTTTTCTTTTAATTTCCATATGTTGTACCTAATTTGGTTTCATTTACTTCCATAAAACAAACCTAAGTGTAATCTCTGATAGGTTGTTTAGGCAGAGTATTCATAATGAATCTAAGTTTTGTCCATTTGATACTTAAATTCAAACCTAAGTGTAATCTTTGATAGGTTGTTTAGGCAGAGTATTCATAATGAATCTAAGTTTTTGTCCACTTGAAACTTAGATTCAAACATAAGTGTAATCTTTGATAGGTTGTTTAGGCAGAGTATTCATAATGAATCTAAGTTTTTGTCCATTTGAAACTTAGATTCAAACCTAAGTGCGTATGTATGACAGTTTTAAGTTATCCTTTACTCCCCACTGTGAAACTATATTTATATATATTATTTGAAGAATATAGGTGGCATTGTTGCTAATAATTTATTGTTCTGAATTATTCAGCAGACATGTTTTTTAAAATACTAAAAATAAATATGAAGCCAAACCTATCATTTGAGTCACCACTTATTGCTGAGTTCCACCAGTTTCAGAGAATTCTGTCCCTCATCAGTAACCCTGGACCAGAACAGATAAAGAAAACAAGATTAGGCTTATTATTATAGTGAACTGTATATTATGTATATATAGCATTTTTAGATGCGCAAGTTTATTTGTTCCTTAAAAAAGGTAATTTTAGCAATACTTGTATTGACTTTTAAGTACAGCTGAGAACACTTAACTACTGTTTAAGGACAGTTTTATTTCAAAGTGAGAAAAGAAAACTTATGATTTTCATATTTATTTATTTTTTACTTCTGTATGGAATATTTGTACAGTTATAAGAGCATATAGAAAGCATTCATTATGCATAGTCAGTTATGTATAGTAACTCGTATAATTTTGCAATGTTGATTGTGTGACAAGTAAAGTTTTATAACAAAATTATTGGAACGTTAATTTTGATCAGTGTCTTGTAACTATGTGAACTTGATAAATGGCTGATTACATTATTTCAGGACTGTGTTAGTTTTCCTGGAGGTGAAATCCTCCAGAACACAGATGCTACCTACTTTCAATTCAATGGTTTGCCTCAACAAAAGATACTTACCATTGATGGAAACAGAAGTAAGTTATTTTTTATACTTATATGAAAATTAGTTATTTAAGGTTCCCAATTTTTAATTCTTTTTATATATTTAACTAAGAACAATGTTAAAATCTTGCAGTGCCTCTGATAATTATTAGTTTGAAATTTAGATGAAATATAGTTCCAGTAGTTTGTATAATATTACATTGTATTAAGACTGATAATTTTAATTATAAAGCTTTTCGACAGCAGGTTGCTGCCAACAAGGCCTTTGGCTCGTTATAGAAGCTCAGCATGCCAGCTGGGCTTACAACATGAAAACATCAATTGAAATATGAGATGTCTTTCCTTTCTTGCACTTGTTATTAGCCAAATGCTCAGTCCTTCTTGATATAATTCAGGATTTGGAACTTACAATGTGTATTGCAACTAGAATACTACCTGATGTAAGTAAAGTAGAATATTGACTGGTGTTGTGTGCAATGAGTCCTAGGGACATAATTTTGCAGTAAATTCTTAAAAACAGTCAATATAATGCTGCCAAGATACAAAAGTAACCATAATTTTTCTTTGCGAGGTTAGGGCAAATGAGAAGCTAGTCACGCAACACATGGCTTTGCATAATTTTGCAGATTATATTTTTCTTTGCGAGGTTAGGGCAAAGGAGCAGCTAGTCACGCAACACATTTCTTCACATGGCTTTGCATAATTTTGCAGATGATATTTTTACTGCAGACAAACCTTCTCGTGCATGAAGTTAAAGTAATCTTGATGAAACAAATTAAAAAAAACTGTTGGATTTCTTTAAGAAAACTATTTGGAAGTGGATTTAAGGTAAGTATGAAAGTAAAAGTAGTAAATTATAGATAAATTTGACCTGATAACTTGATCCATCTGTGTTAAATCTTTTTTATGCTCTGTCTAGGCACCCTGGAATGAGAGTAAGGAAGACGATCAGGAAGTATACTTAACGATGTTTATTGACCAATTGTTATTGATTTCTGTCTGAAGTTCCGGCATACTTAGTTTCATAGTAAATGAAGTTAAACTTAAATTTCCATAGTAATTTATTGCATATTGCCCCAATCTTTCTGCTGTCTCAATTCTAAAGTTGTTTAGAATTTGTTTACTAAAAGAATCAAGCTCTGTCTGTAATTCTTCGGATGATTTAATCTTTCTGTTTACAAAGAGCTCATCTTTTTACACCATATTTATGTAGCCTACATGTGTGTTTGTACATTGCATTATTAGTACTACCTGGTGTTCTGGTCCACTCAGGATTGCTTCTTTTTAGAAAAGCAATTTTATCAGAAGAAAAGGCCTGATGTAATAATTTGTTTTTTAAGAGTAGAGAAAGTTTTCACCCATTAATTTAGACTTATTTCACTAGCCCTAAACCTTGTCCTATTTTGAACCACAGTAAACTGAGTATTTATTCATCATTCATTACATGTATAGTTTCAGATTGTATAACTTCCTAAATTGACTCATCTGTCACTCCCAGTGTAGCAACTCTCACCAAAGTAGACCCATGCTTCTCCCGTAACGGGTTTGTTATATGGAATAGACTCCATATCATGAAATGATATAAATATATACTTGAAATTTATAATTGTTTATCTTTCAATGTTTAATTTTTTTTTTCTCTCTTATAGATGGTACAGTCAAGAGAAAGAGAGATGTAAGTATAAGTATACGTGTGTATCATGAATATAAAATTTAATGTTATCTAGTTTATATAACTAGCTTTTGTTCCTTTTGATATTTTTCAGCAAAAAATCTTATTTCTATCTCCTAGATTTGGTTTTAGAGGATTTCATTCACCCATTCACTTGGAAAAAAATAATACAAATTACAATGAATTTGTTTATAACAATATACTGAATGTATTCTATTATAATATTAAAGTAATACATTAAAAGATTTCATCTCGATATCACTAAATAATTTTATTAATTCATAAAATTAATCCCTTCACCGTGGTTGGGACATATATTTCCCAGTGCTCCTACTTCCTCTCACTGTGACTGGGCCAAATGTTTCCCAGTGCTCCTACTTCCTCTCACTGTGACTGTGGCATATATTTCCCAGTGCTCCTACTTCCTCTCACTGTGACTGGGCCAAATGTTTCCCAGTGCTCCTACTTCCTCTCACTGTGACTGGGTCATATATTTCCCAGTGCTCCTACTTCCTCTCACTGTGACTGGGACATATATTTCCCAGTGCTCCTACTTCCTCTCACTGTGACTGGGGCATATATTTCCCAGTGCTCCTACTTCCTCTCACTGTGACTGGGACAAATGTTTCCCATTGTCATTCAAAATTGCCGCGTGTGACATATGAGAGTAAAATGAGGTGCATCGTATTTAGTGGCAACCCACCTAATGTTGATATGTGGTTTCCCTCAATGTTCCACTAGTATTTATTGGTATCCCACCTAATGTTGATATGTGGTTTCCCTCAATGTTTTCCACTAGTATTTATTGGCATCCCACCTAATGTTGATATATATGGTTTCCCTCAATGTTTTCCACTAGTATTTATTGGTATCCCACCTAATGTTGATATATGGTTTCCCTCAATGTTTTCCACTAGTATTTATTGGCATCCCACCTAATGTTGATATATGTGGTTTCTCTCAATGTTTTCCACTAGTATTTATTGGCATCCCACGTAATGTTGATATATAGTTTCACTCAATGTTTTTC